CCATCTTCATGAAGCCCCTCGCATTTTTGTACGACACAAAGGTCGGCCACGCCTGCCGTGGTTCCCCTACCTTGTTGCACGGGTACTAGGTAGGATGATCTGGCTGAGTGACTAGTGCTGCGAGTCGTCCCAGCTCCAATATGTCAGCCACCAGCCGCGCCCTCGGCCTCTCCATTTGTGAGAGCTGATAGCGTAACGCCGCCTTTGGCACCCGTTCTGCCAATATTGCCGGGGACGGTATGCTCGGCTCCCGTTTTGCGCAGCATCCCATGCGACTCCTGCCCCCATCTCCGCGGTAATCTCTTCAATTGCCGCTCGCACCGCCGGCCTCGCGTCCTCCACCATATCCACATTTTCTGTGATGTACATGACCTCTCCCTGTCGCTTCTTAATTATCTTCAGCACCCTTATCATCTCTCGGAACTGCCCGCTCCTTTCGTCCTCCATCCCTCGTCCCTTTCCAGCCCTTGAGTAACCTTGGCAGTTTCATCCTGCAATTACCAAGTTGATCTCCCCCACTCCGCTATGAGGTTCTCATCAATTTCCTTTACTCCTTAGCACGGCCATTCCACCCCTCTTTTATCCGTGCCTTCCATAATTTGTTCTTGGTAGCGTGCCTTCAACAATCCAATGTGATGCCATGTCATCAGATTCGCCTTGTCATCATTATCCCCGTACAAGTACCTAGATATGGCGTGTCCAACCTTCAGTAGTGCTGCCAAGCCTGTAGCTATTCCTCAGTATAGCTCCAACACCACCATTGGCTTGCGGATAGCCCGTAGATTTAGCTGTGCTAATCTCAGGTTGTAGATGGGTCCCCACGTCTCCTCATACTGCTTCCTCGCCACCAGGGTTTGCTCCATCTCCTTCCACGGCATCACTCCCAGCTCCTCCTCCCGCGAACTCTCCATGGCTTGATACGCCTCCCTAGGTTCCCTCCTGATGAACCTCACTGGCAGCTCTGCCAGAGGATTGCCATACTCCTAGTACGTGATGCGGTACATCAACTTTTCTTTCCACATGCAGATCGTGGTTCCGATGGCAAACAGATACTCCACTCCAAGCACTAGGTCAAAGTCCTCGGAGGAGGAGATGCTGCAGTACATCCTCACCGTGCATTCTTTGCTCTGCCCCGGGCGTATCACAATCTCCACGGTGCCCTTTTGTCCTGGGCATCCACTTGGCAGCGCCTCCATCGGCCGTCATCAGTAGGTACCCTTCAGAAATAACTCTGTCCTCTCAGTCTAGCCCTAGCAGCCTCGCCATTGGTGTGCCAATCAGCACGTCGTGCGCTCCCGTGTCCAAGATTGCCTGCTTCACCTTTATTCCTCCCACCGTCATCACTCCCTTCTCCACCACCTGCACCGAGGGCTGACAGGCAATTCGTTCCAGCGGGTGCCGTTGCGGTGCTCCTTCCCCCGTTTCTCCATTTGAGCCTTGCCTTGGACCTCTTTCCTTCGTGGGCCGGTCCGCTGGGAAATGTTGCTGACGTGCGCGCAGTCCCATGTCATCCCTTTCTCTTGCCGGTTGCGCCATCAGTGCAAAGTTGGCTTCGCTCTCCGTCTCTTCTTCTTCCTCTGCCTTTGCCAGCATCGTGGTCCTCTTCGAATCCGGGCCCTCCATCTCCTGCAATTGCCACTGTAGTCGTACAATTTGCGCGCGCATGTCCTCCGGGTCCCTCCGCATCTTTCCTTCCCGTCCAGTGGCGTAGCAGTCCTTTTCCGTATGTCCTTTCCATCCACAGCGATCACAGGTGGGGGCGTCCGGGCAGCCGCGCCTCATGTGTTCCTCACTTTCGCAGGTCGAGCTGGCTGGCGGGTTGCGACAGTCACACCGAAGGTGGCCCGTCTTGCCACAATTATGATACTTCCTCTCTTCTCCTGCCCGTCGAGGCGGGCGCTCTCGCTCCACCGGCGCTGCTGCCCATGCTAGTCGCCGTCGCTCTCCTCCTTGCTCCGGTGTGGCCTCAATCTTGTACAGTCTCCGGCAGGTCTCCACCCGCTTCACCACCTCATCCTTAAGCGTGGCCCTGGCACCCATGTCGAACACGCGCACCTGTACGTCCCGCCGCAAATCGTAGCTTAGCCAGTTCAGGAATTTGCAGAATAACCGTCCTTGATCGTGACAGGTCATGTCCTCGGCTAGCTCCACCAATCAACCGTAGTACGCTAGTAGAGACTCGCCCGTGTGGCGCCTGAAGTCCAGAAACTCCGATACCCGCTCCGGCGTTTGCGCAGGGAACTGCCCTTCTAGCATGCCCAAGAAACGCGTCGTGGGATCCCTTTCCCCTGGTGCCGCTCGCGCCGCCCAATCCAATAGCTCTCTCCGACTGATGCGATAATAGGTCTTCGCCTCCCGTGTCAGCGTGTTCGCCAAACCGCGGAAGAACTTTTCAGGGTCCAGGCGATTGCACTCCCAGCGGGCTCGTAAATTCTCCAGTTGCATCACGTGATTCTTTATGGAGGGTCTCCGCCGCGTATCGCTGGAGAACCGTTCCGGCACTTCGATCTTGAGCAGAAGGGTGTATTTCCAGCGTTGCACCGATGCCTCTTCCTGCCATGATGCGCTCCGTCGATAGGAGCCATGATCCGGTTCCTCCCTTGCACTTCGCATCGGTTGCTCTTCCGATTGCGAATCTTTCTTCTCCGCCCTAGTCGGCGCCGACCCTTCCACTGGTGGCTCTGTTTGTCCTCGCCCGCCTGCCTCTTGCCCGGGCGAATCCGGTCCTTGCTCCGCGTCTTCGCGTGTATCCGTTCCCCGGTGCATGCCTGCGTTCTGTTCTCCCAAGACGTCACCTCCAACTTCACCCTTCCGTTCTAGCTCGTACTCCGTGCCAGCTCTTGTCCGCATACTAATGCTCCATACATTGCTTGTATGTGATAAGCCCTCCTGGCTTGATCACATCTCCTCACGATCCGAAACCTTCACTCAATTGCTCATACTTGCCTTAGATCTCACAAGCACATGAAATGTTGCAGTTTCGTGAGAATAGCACCGAACATACAAGCAATGCAGAAACGGTTGCCCGTACCTCCTATAACCACCCCTTTCCTCCCCCTAATGCTACACCGCTAGTGCCTTTCTTGAACAAAGGCCTGTTCGCAAAGCTAAAGGCCAACGTCCCTTCCCTCCTTCCACCACCACTTAGCCACTCCTTTACCTATCCTCCAGCTTGCACTTGTATTCCAGCTGGCTCGAGCATCCAACCTGCCAAACAAAAGAACATGCACATGCACACGAAACAAAAGCAGCGAATTCCAGCTGTGTCCCCCTCTGTCCCTGGCCTTATTCCTGTCACCTCATTAACTTCTCGGCAGCCTTACTCCCCGCCCACTCCTCCATAACCATCGCTTCTTCCTCGTACCAACATCGCCGTTGCTATTTACAAATGTACAGTATATACCCTCAGTCCCCTTTGCCACAGCCCGCTCCTCTGTCTACCGGCCACTCGCTCTCAGCTGCACCTTCGGACGAGTCTGTAGAGCGTAGTGGTCCCTACTCATAGCTTGCGGGTTGCCTCATGTACCTGATGACGTGCACACGACCTGACCTCGCGTACCCTCTCAACCTCCTGGCTCGTTACGTGGCTCTCGGTAGACACCAAAAGTGCACTGAGAAGCTGCGAAGAGGGTATTGCATTACTTGTGTAGTACATCGGGCATGGGGCTCGTGCTTGGAGGACGGGGTTCAGTTGTTCTCACCGGTCACTCAGACGCTTCTTGGGCTGACGACCAGACGACTCACAGGTCGACACAGGGGTATAGTTTCAGCCTCAGCACTGGTTTTATCTCTTGGAGGTCCACTCGCTCTTCTTCTTCTTGGAGTTCCAGCTGTGAGGCCGAGATCTACGCTTGGGCTATGGCCGCATAGGAGCCCAGCTGGCTAGCCTACCTGCTGACCGACTTGGATAAGCGGCCTCATTCTCCTCGAGTTTTGTACGTCGACAACAAGGCCATGATTGCCTTGTATCAGGACCAGAGATTGGAGCACAGAACGAAGCACATTGCTCTCCATTACTTCCTCACGCGAGAGCTGCAGCTGCGTGGTCAGCTTCGTCTTGCTTACGTGGCCATACAGGCCAACACTGCTGATGTCTTCACCAATGCCCTTGGGTCTAGTGATCATCAGCGTTTCTGCACTGCTCTTGGGCTTGTGCCCACTCTGCCTCACCTGCTTATTTTTTTATCTTGCTTTGTACATTGATATATAAACTGCATGCTTCACGTTGCTATGTTGTAATCGTTATATTACTTGTGGTATTATCAAGTTGCATATGAAGTGGCCTTGTGGCCGCTTGCTTGTGCTCAGAATGTGTGGTGATCTTGAGATCCACCCTGACCTTTTCTTTGCTTTGCCTTTTCTCTTTACTTGTCTTGTGATCCTTTGTTGGTCTTGCTATCCCTCAATAGCCTAGGGGTGTGTGTTAAATATATGTGTATGTGTATGTTATTCTGATAGGCTTTAGTCATGCTAGCTATAAGGGGTACAGCCCTTTTACCGTAGGTATCCTTCTTGTACTCCCCTTCCTTCCTACTCTACATTCCTCTTCCACATTTTAACAACCTTACCGTACATACGCGATGCTCGCCAGTCTCGCCAGCACACTAGAAATCGACTAGAAGGATTCTCCACGCATCTTTCACTTTGTTCATGCCGAGGAAAAGTGGTCGTGGAGATCCGGTCGTGGAGATCCGAGGGTGAATAGTCTGGTAATGTCATATCTTAGTATTCCTGGTTACTTTTAATGTACCAGTACAATCGGTGGCAGTAATTGTGGAATAGTACGCTCTGTACCACCTAAGTCATCAACTCATCAATACCAGTACTTTACAACTGAAATGGAACCTGAAACTTTGGGCTTTGCATTTGCACCACATTTCCAATTTGCAAATAAACTCTACGACGACGTAGGCTGGATGACGAATTTCACCAGCAACGTCCTCTGCAAGAGTCTTCACTGCGACGCAGCGTTCAGAGCCCGATCCTAGCAAGAACTGTTGTTATGCATCCACATAGGAGCCGCTGAACATGCCAGTGGTGCCGACCACTTTGGTCCTCAGCTGCGGCTGAATGACCGCCTGTGGGTGCTGCAGCTGCTGCCGCGCGTGCTCCAACGCCCATGCCACCTGGTGGGGCTCAGTGGTGGTGTTGGAGGCACACAGGACAGGCATGCGAAAGGAAGTCGAGATGGACTGGAGGAGGCCCGCCATATGCTCATGCCAGATTGCTTCCAATGAGTGTGTGTATACAGCGAGGAAGGCGAGGAGCAAACAGTGGGGAAGGCAAGCGGCATACAGTGGGGAAGGCAAGCGGCATACAGTGGGGAAGGCAAGTGGCATACAGTGGGGAAGGCAAGCGGCATACAGTGGGGAAGGCAAGGTCGGGGAAGGGAACATCGTCCCACTCAAAGAGACCCGCTTCTAGTGTCTCGGAGCCTGAAGGTGACGGTGTGGGGGGGTAAGGGGGGCGTGAGCACAGAATGAATTGGATAGGAGACAAGCACATGGCGAGACGAACGCGTGCAAAAAAAGGCTGGGAATGGGATAAGCATAAGCATCAGGAGTGATTCTGGCTCAAGCACTAAAAATACGTTCGACAGAGGGGTGCATTTGACAGGAGGGTGAGAAAGAGAGGGTGAAGAGCATGAGAGGGCTTGTAAGAACATGGTGATTGGGTTGGCAGAGCAGCAGAAGGTGGGCATACCAGCAGCGCAGTGCGGCGAGAGGAGGTCAGCGAGGTAGATGATCTGCACCTGGTGGGCGGCACATGGCAGGGGGAGGATGGGCAGTGGGGAGAATGGGCAGTGGGGAGAATGGGCAGGGGGGGGGGGGAGGATGGGCAGTGGGGAGAATGGGCAGGGGGGGGGAGAGGATGGGCAGTGGGGAGAATGGGCAGGGGGGGGGGAGGATGGGCAGTGGGCAGAATGGGCAGGGGGGGGGGGGAGGATGGGCAGTGGGGAGAATGGGCAGGGGGGGGGGAGAATGGGCAGTGGGGAGAATGGGCAGGGGGGGGGGGGAGGATGGGCAGTGGGGAGAATGGGCAGGGGGGGGGAGAGGATGGGCAGTGGGGAGAATGGGCAGGGGGGGGGGAGGATGGGCAGTGGGGAGAATGGGCAGGGGGGGGGGGAGGATGGGCAGTGGGGAGAATGGGCAGGGGGGGGGGAGGATGGGCAGTGGGGAGAATGGGCAGGGGGGGGGGAGGATGGGCAGGGAGGCGGATGGGCAGGAGGGGGGGAGGATGGGCAGTGGGGAGAATGGGCAGGGGGGGAGGTTGGAGAAGGGCGGAGGATGGAGAAGGGCAGAGGATGGAGAAGGGCGGAGGATGGAGAAGGGCGGAGGATGGAGAAGGGCGGAGGATGGAGAAGGGCGGAGGATGGAGAGGGGGATGGATAGAAAGTGGGTAGAGAGAGGGTGAGGGAGGTTGGGAGTGGGACTTACGGTGAGGGGGACACATGGTCATGTATCAACGCACATACACATGGTCATGTATCAACGCACATACACATGGTCATGTATCAACGCACATACACATGGTCATGTATCAACGCACATACACATGGTCATGTATCAACGCACATACACATGGTCATGTATCAACGCACTGACATGCTCATACCTAGCCAACCAACCTATGCAGCCAAACGTGTTATGAGCAAAATATGGGCAAAATGGGTTGGGGAGGGTCAGAAAGGAGGAAGCGTTGGGGTTCTAAAGAGGAAGCTGTGTGGAGTGCATGTTTGGAGCGACAAGACGCGAGCAAACAGGCGGGTGCAGTGAGGATGGCATGCATCATGAGGATGGCATGCATCATGAGGATGGCATGCATCATGAAGAAGCAGCGATCGAGGGGGCTGGCAGCCAGTGCAGGAGCTGACTGCGCTTGGCTGGGAATGGCTGGGTTCAACTGACCTGCTTTGCCATCGGCAAATTCAACTGCTGACCTGGTTGGGAATGTTGTAGACGGCCAGCAGGCTGACCTGGTTGGGAATGTTGTAGACGGCCAGCAGGCTGACCTGGTTGGGAATGTTGTAGACGGCCAGCAGGCTTCTCACTCGCACCTCTGCGCACGCCTCCTCGCGCACCTCCCTCTCCGCGCCCTCCCTCGACGACTCCCCCAGCTCCAAGAACCCTGCCAGCATGGCACGGTGTGGCACCGTGTGGCACGGTGTGGCACCGTGTGGTGTGGCATGGTGTGGCATGGCATGGCATGGTGTGGCATGGAAGAAGGATACTATGGGGTTGGGAAGCACAGGGAGCGACGCACCTTGAGGGAAGCACAGGGAGCGACGCACCTTGAGGGAAGCACAGGGAGCGACGCACCTTGAGGGAAGCACAGGGAGCGACGCACCTTGAGGGAAGCACAGGGAGCGACACACCTTGAGGGAAGCACAGGGAGCGACGCACCTTGAGGGAAGCACAGGGAGCGACGCACCTTGAGAGAAGCACAGGGAGCGACGCACCTTGAGGGAAGCACAGGGAGCGACGCACCTTGAGGGAAGCACAGGGAGCGACGCACCTTGAGGGAAGCACCGGGAGCGACGCACCTTGAGGGAAGCACAGGGAGCGACGCACCTTGAGGGAAGCACAGGGAGCGACGCACCTTGAGGGAAGCACAGGGAGCGACGCACCTTGAGGGAAGCACAGGGAGCGACGCACCTTGAGGGAAGCACAGGGAGTGACGCACCTTGAGGGAAGCACAAGGAGCGACGCACCTTGAGGGAAGCACAGGGAGCGACGCACCTTGAGGAAAGCACAGGGAGCGACGCACCTTGAGGGAAGCACAGGGAGCGACGCACCTTGAGGGAAGCACAGGGAGCGACGCACCTTGAGGGAAGCACAGGGAGCGACGCACCTTGAGGGAAGCACAGGGAGCGACGCACCTTGAGGGAAGCACAGGGAGCGACGCACCTTGAGGGAAGCACAGGGAGCGACGCACCTTGAGGGAAGCACCGGGAGCGACGCACCTTGAGGGAAGCACAGGGAGCGACGCACCTTGAGGGAAGCACAGGGAGCGACGCACCTTGAGGGAAGCACAGGGAGCGACGCACCTTGAGGGAAGCACAGGGAGCGACGCAGCTTGAGGGAAGCACAGGGAGCGACGCACCTTGAGGGAAGCACAGGGAGCGACGCACCTTGAGGGAAGCACAGGGAGCGACGCACCTTGAGGGAAGCACAGGGAGCGACGCACCTTGAGGGAAGCACAGGGAGCGACGCACCTTGAGGGAAGCACCGGGAGCGACGCACCTTGAGGGAAGCACAGGGAGCGACGCACCTTGAGGGAAGCACAGGGAGCGACGCACCTTGAGGGAAGCACAGGGAGCGACGCACCTTGAGGGAAGCACAGGGAGCGACGCACCTTGAGGGAAGCACAGGGAGCGACGCACCTTGAGGGAAGCACAGGGAGCGACGCACCTTGAGGGAAGCACAGGGAGCGACGCACCTTGAGGGAAGCACAGGGAGCGACGCACCTTGAGGAAAGCACAGGGAGCTACGCACCTTGAGGGAAGCACAGGGAGCGACGCACCTTGAGGGAAGCACAGGGAGCGACGCACCTTGAGGGAAGCACAGGGAGCGACGCACCTTGAGGGAAGCACAGGGAGCGACGCACCTTGAGGGAAGCACAGGGAGCGACGCACCTTGAGGGAAGCACAGGGAGCGACGCAGCTTGAGGGAAGCACAGGGAGCGACGCACCTTGAGGGAAGCACAGGGAGCGACGCACCTTGAGGGAAGCACAGGGAGCGACGCACCTTGAGGGAAGCACAGGGAGCGACGCAGCTTGAGGGAAGCACAGGGAGCGACGCACCTTGAGGGAAGCACAGGGAGCGACGCACCTTGAGGGAAGCACAGGGAGCGACGCACCTTGAGGGAAGCACAGGGAGCAACGCACCTTGAGGGAAGCACAGGGAGCGACGCACCTTGAGGGAAGCACAGGGAGCGACGCACCTTGAGGGAAGCACAGGGAGCGACGCACCTTGAGGGAAGCACAGGGAGCGACGCACCTTGAGGGAAGCACAGGGAGCGACGCACCTTGAGGGAAGCACAGGGAGCGACGCACCTTGAGGGAAGCACAGGGAGCGACGCACCTTGAGGGAAGCACAGGGAGCGACGCACCTTGAGGGAAGCACAGGGAGCGACGCACCTTGAGGGAAGCACAGGGAGCGACGCACCTTGAGGGAAGCACAGGGAGCGACGCACCTTGAGGGAAGCACAGGGAGCGACGCACCTTGAGGGAAGCACAGGGAGCGACGCACCTTGAGGGAAGCACAGGGAGCGACGCACCTTGAGGGAAGCACAGGGAGCGATGCACCTTGAGGGAAGCACCGGGAGCGACGCACCTTGAGGGAAGCACAGGGAGCGACGCACCTTGAGGGAAGCACAGGGAGCGACGCACCTTGAGGGAAGCACCGGGAGCGACGCACCTTGAGGGAAGCACAGGGAGCGACGCACCTTGAGGGAAGCACAGGGAGTGACGCACCTTGAGGGAAGCACAGGGAGCGACGCACCTTGAGGGAAGCACAGGGAGCGACGCACCTTGAGGGAAGCACAGGGAGCGACGCACCTTGAGGGAAGCACAGGGAGCGACGCACCTTGAGGGAAGCACAGGGAGCGAGGCACCTTGAGGGAAGCACAGGGAGCGACGCACCTTGAGGGAAGCACAGGGAGCGACGCACCTTGAGGGAAGCACAGGGAGCGACGCACCTTGAGGGAAGCACAGGGAGCGACGCACCTTGAGGGAAGCACCGGGAGCGACGCACCTTGAGGGAAGCACAGGGAGCGACGCACCTTGAGGGAAGCACAGGGAGCGACGCACCTTGAGGGAAGCACAGGGAGCGACGCACCTTGAGGGAAGCACAGGGAGCGACGCACCTTGAGGGAAGCACAGGGAGCGACGCACCTTGAGGGAAGCACAGGGAGCGACGCACCTTGAGGGAAGCACAGGGAGCGACGCACCTTGAGGGAAGCACAGGGAGCGACGCACCTTGAGGGAAGCACAGGGAGCGACGCACCTTGAGGGAAGCACAGGGAGCGACGCACCTTGAGGGAAGCACAGGGAGCGACGCACCTTGAGGGAAGCACAGGGAGCGACGCACCTTGAGGGAAGCACAGGGAGCGACGCACCTTGAGGGAAGCACAGGGAGCGACGCACCTTGAGGGAAGCACAGGGAGCGACGCACCTTGAGGGAAGCACAGGGAGCGACGCACCTTGAGGGAAGCACAGGGAGCGACGCACCTTGAGGGAAGCACAGGGAGCGACGCACCTTGAGGGAAGCACAGGGAGCGACGCACCTTGAGGGAAGCACAGGGAGCGACGCACCTTGAGGGAAGCACAGGGAGCGACGCACCTTGAGGGAAGCACAGGGAGCGACACACCTTGAGGGAAGCACAGGGAGCGACGCACCTTGAGGGAAGCACAGGGAGCGACGCACCTTGAGGGAAGCACAGGGAGCGACGCACCTTGAGGGAAGCACAGGGAGCGACGCACCTTGAGGGAAGCACCGGGAGCGACGCACCTTGAGGGAAGCACAGGGAGCGACGCACCTTGAGGGAAGCACAGGGAGCGACGCACCTTGAGGGAAGCACAGGGAGCGACGCACCTTGAGGGAAGCACAGGGAGTGACGCACCTTGAGGGAAGCACAGGGAGCGACGCACCTTGAGGGAAGCCCCACATGCCTTCACACGGTGGGATGCCCCTTCTACACAGCAGCACCTGCGAAGGGACAAGGGGAGCGGACGGGGCAGAATGACAGGGGTGAGGTCAGAGCGCAGAGGAAGGACGGAAGGAAGGAAGGAAGGAAGGAAGGAAGGAAGGAAGGAAGGAAGGCAGAATTACTGAACTTTCTTACCATGCTCTGCCTCTCGCTCATTCCCACGTCCCATTTACAACCGTTCCTATTCGACCACGTCTGCCACACACACACACAGCGCCCCACCTTGCCCTCCCAGAGGCAGAGCGCGCCGACGACCACTTTGGGGTTGGCGTAGTGCACGCGCCCACACCGCTCGCTGCTGCACACGTCCCTTGGCTTGTCGTCCCCTGCCCGTGGTACCAGGGGGGTGGGAGGAAGGAGGGATGGGAGATACGAGGGATGGAAGAAGGGGGACGGGATGGAGTGGTGCGGCATGGCGGGTGCACGGGGCATTGCTTTATTGTGAGGAGGAGGGAGAGGGAGGATGGGCGCGTGGAAGGAGTGGACGGGGCGGAGGTGAGTGGTGCTGTGGGGATATCTTTGGCTTGTGATGCATCAGCCACTGCGGAGGTAGCTACAGAGATGTGGGCTGGGGTGGTGGGTGGGGATGGGGGGGGGAGGGATGGGGATGGGAGGGGGGGGATGGGGATGGGGTTGGGGGTGAGGGTGCGGGTGGGGGTGGGGATGAGGATGATGGTGAAGATGTGAGGGTGAAGGGGGGGGTGACAGGGCGAATGCCGTGCTGCAGGGCACTCACCAGGTGGCACAATGAGATTGGTGGGAGAGCCACACTGCGAGCAGAACAGAACGTGGTGGCTGCTGCTCGCCCACGTGCCCTCCTTCTCCTTCTCCTTCCCCTCCTCCTTCCCTTTTTCCTTCTCCAATGCCCGCAATGCAAGGCCTTGCCCCACCTGTGACCCCCTCCCCACAACCTCCTCTCCCGCTTCTTCGTTACTCACCTCTCCCCCCTGCTGCTCCATTCCAGCCTCACCACTCACAGCGCGCACTGCCCTCCTGCCCGCCCTTGGCGTGCGGCAGCGCTTCTCACAGCCGTGCGTCCCTGGCAGCCACAGCACGGGCCGAGCAGCACCACACACGCCACGCCACGCACCACCGCTGCACCTGCTGCTGCCTGCCTGCCTTCGCCTGCTCCCACTGCCGCCACTCCCATTGCCCCAGCTGCTGCTGCTGCTGCTGCCCTCGCTGCCACTTCTCCAGACGTCATTGCTGCTCGCCACCCCTCTCCATCGCACACTCACCTGCTCCCCTCCGCCCTGCCCTGCGCCCTCCCCCAATCCGCCTGCCCTCCTCCCCCTCTGCTGCCACGCGCTCACACGCACCTCCACGCCCACGGACGGGGCGGCTGTGGGGACGACGACGCTGGGGGCGGTGGACAGGGTAGGCGAGGGGGGGGGGCAAGAAGAGCGGGGGTGAGGAGATGTATACAGCATGTTGCATACATGCCCGTGTGGCCACGTGTGTCAGAATGGTGCAGTGCGGTGCGAGGGAATGCGGTGCAGTGCGGTGCGGTGCGGTGCGGCGACTGTCACCTCTGCACGAGCAGCTGGCGGTGTGTGGTGAGGCACAGGCGCTGCAGCCGTGCCGAACCCGCCATGCCACCACTCTCGCTCCTTTTCTCTCCTCTCTCGCTCTCCCTGCCTCCACTATCGCTCGCACTGCGCCCTCTCCACTGCCAGCGGCTGGGGACGGAAAGGGGCGAGGGAGAGCGAAAGCGAGAGGGAGAAGAGGGAGGATTAGATTGGGAGAAATGCTTGCACTATGCGATAGGCAGAGCGAAATTCGGAGCGAAGGCGCGCGGAGGGGCGCGGAGGAGTGGATGGAGGGGCGCGAAAGGGCTTCGACCAATGGGGAAGGGGTAAATGAGCGCGACTGGCCTGGCGCGGCGCACCAGGTTTTGTGTGGCGCGCCCCCCGCGCGTGCGACGAGCAGGAGGGCGAGCGACAGAGTGAGAATACGACGCGCAGGAAGGCGGACGCGTGCCGCGCGGGTGACGTGTGGGGTCGTGCGACAGGATAGGAGTTGCGGCGAGCGGGGGAGGGTGAGAGAGCAGCGAAATTACGTTTCGAAGCGCAGGAAGGAAGACGACGTGTCGAGGTCGTCAGCGCTTTAAGAGGGCGCGGGGCGGCGGAGGTTGAAGTGTCCGTTTTAGGATGGTACCGCGCCGCGAGTTTCGATGCACTGTGCGTCAGAGTCTCGGCCCCGAAGCACACTTGGAGGGTGACACGACAGCTAAGGTATACGCATACTTTCCGACTCGGAACACTGCGGGTTACTCGATTTTTGTGAATGTGCTGCTTGAAGAAAGACATATAAATATATATAAATAAATATCACAGCACACTTATTTGTAAACATATGTAACTTCCATTGTCAAAGGGCTGGAACATATTGAACCTGAGATTCATGCAGGCATGTTGTTAGAAAAAAGTGAACATATGTCTATTTTCAGAACTTAAGGTGACCACTCTATCATCACATCTGTCTGTTACGGTACTATACATGATTCTGCAAATACTATACATGATTCTGCAAATCCTACGTAAACACCTAGATAAGCCACCAAACGCAGTCGTAGACCCCCCTGCGTAGCTTATGCAGGTCGGTGTAGCTGATTTGAACTGTTTTTTTCGTCATACCTTGTCATTTAGGTGAAATCATATTAGCTGTTGAAGTAAACTAAATGACTTACTGTATACCGTCATCACCCGGATAGTAGACAGTGTTGAATAGTAGACAGGGGTTGTCTATTATCCGGGTGTCTCTTATAAACAGGCTAGCCTCATTATAAGACACCTATTTGTGTGTACGAGTTAAGCTACTGTAAGGGTTAGGGGGAATTGTATAACGAAGGGGTATCTTCTAAAGGGTTCCTTGTCCATTAATAAGGCTTATAAGACACCCAAAACCTCCCCAAATACAAGATAACACAAGCATTTTTTCTACTGTACGAGATAAGACATATATGTCTTATATCTGGGCGATGACGGTATTAATCAGTAGTTTGATTCGTAAAACAGTAAAATGGTATCGTAGTATTATCATATGTGTATGTCTCAGAAACTAAACACAGCGGAATGGATTGGATTGATTGGGTTGGGGTAAAAATGCCTAACCCTAACTGTTTGTACCCCATATAGCATGACCCACTAGAGGCTATAACATTTGATACAGCCCCATAGCCTAAGAGGGGAATGCCAAGCAACAAGAAACGCAACCTAAGGTCACAAGACCAGTCACAAGCAAGAGAGAAAACAAAGCTCAGGGTGGATCACAACGTCACCACACAGTCTGAGCACAAACAAAGGGCCACAAGGCCAGTTCAAGAGTGTACAAACTAATATATATGGTACACAAACAAGAGTCAAGAACTCACTAGGCCTCGGAGGCCACAAAGTCCAGACGAGCCTGTCCGCGTCTCTGCAACTCTCGAAGGAGGAAGTACCTGACGTCGATGTGCTTCACTCTGCTCTCCAGTCGAGGCTCACGACACAGGAGAATCATCGCTTTGTTGTCAGCAAACAAGGTCGGTGCAGAGCTCGGGAACTCACCAAGGTCAGTGAGCAAGAAGGTCAACCAGCGTAGCTCCTATGCAGCAAGGGGCTCCAGCGTAGATCTCGACCTCTGCGGTAGAAGTCGCAACAGAGGAGGACCGAGTGGACCTCCACGAAACAGCTCCAGAGCTCAGGCTGAAACAGTAACCCTGCGTAGACCTCTGAGTCTCAACGTCGTCGGCGTAGGAGGAGTCGAAGTGACCGGTGAGTACAACTGGCTGTGTCCCTCCAAGTACAAGCCCCATGTCTGATGTCGTGCCGAGGTACTTCGCCACCCTCTAAGCCGCCGCCCAGTGAACAGGACGGTGTCTCCCAGTCGCAACAAAGCGAGAAAGGATGCTAAGAGGGAAGGCAAGGTCCGGGCGAGTACACGTCATCAGGTACATGAGGCAGTCCACCAGCTCTGCGTAGGGACCACTGGGCTCGAACGGCTCGTCAGGAAAAGGCATAGTGATTCTGTGGTCTACAGCAAGAGGGGTGGGTGTAGGAGAAGAGTGCTGAAGCCCGAACCGCTGAAGGACCTGCTGCACCATGTGTGACTGAGTCAGAGTGATGGTGCGAGCGGCTCTGTCCCTGGAGATCGGCCAAGGTAGCGGCGCAGTTCCCGAAGGTCAGTGCAGGTGTGTCTCTTCTGCAGTTCGGACTTCACCTCCGCGAGTGCAACTGTGTCGGCTGTGGCAAAAACCAGGTCGTCAACGTAGACGAGAACAAAGAAAGGTGTGCGCCCATGACGAACAAACAGCAACGGGTTGGCGGAAGACGGCTCAAACCCGAGGTCAGACAAAGTAGAGCGGAGAGTGTCGTGCCACTCACGGGGTGCTTGGCGTAGACCGTAGACTGGTCGTCTAAGGTTCCACTGGGTCCCAGGCGGGAAGGAGCCAGTGAAGCCTGGAGGACGACGCAGCCAGATCTCCTCGTGTAGACTGCCCTGGAGGAAGGCAGTGGAGAAGTCAAGAGAGTGTAGCTCGTAGTCTCTCTGCGCTGCTACGAGCAGTAACACCCAAAGAGTGGTCATCTTCGGGGTGGGCACAAAGGTCTGAAAGAAGTCAACTCCCTCACGCTGACTGAACCCTTTAGCCACGTAGCGTGCATTGAAGACTGGGGGAGATCCCGGCGGCCGCTTTTGAAGATCCACATGCCGTCAACTATGTTCGCCCCTGGAGGGGGAGCCTCGTCAACGTAAGTGCCTGTGGACCTGTAGGAGGCCATCTCTGCGTCCATGGCAGCTCTCTACTGAGAGGCCCAAGGCCCTGACACTGCCTCAGCGTAAGTGCGAGGAGTAGGTATGTCAGGAGCGTCGGGGTCTCCCTCAGGAGCGAGGAGCATGGCATAGAGATGAGGCGAAGCAGCTGCCAGGAACTCTAGCTCAAACTGTCTGTCCTCTAGGACGTCACAGCCAAAGGCAGACTCACCCACGGCGGACAGAGGACGGACAGGAGGAGTGGCCACAACTCGAGTGGCGTAGTCAAGGCGACGCGTAGCAGTAAAGTCAGTGACAGCGGCAGTGAGGACCGCGACGCAGGAACGAGAGGCACGAGGGTCTGTAACAAGAGAGGCGAGAATACGAGAGAGTGTGGGGCGGTACGTGCGGTAGTAGTCAGTGATCGGAGTGGACAGGGAAGCAGTGAGGGACGACTCAGGAGGACGAGGAAGAACAGACAGAGGAGGACGAGGAGGACTAGGACGAAACAACACGGTACGGAGGTCAGTGACAGGTGACGAAGGACGAGCACGAGGGGGACGAGAGGTCCAAGTGTGGGCGAGAGGAGAGGGAGACGGAGGAGACTAAGAACGAGGGAACACAGCCGGAGCTGAGTCCGGAGGAGGAAACGTAGGACCGAACACATGAGGAGAGGAGGGGAGACCAAGGGCCCGAAGGCTAGAAACAGGGGCCGCAGGCTGCTTCGGGTGCTGCTTCTGCTGCTGCTGCTGCTCCCGCTGCAACTCCAACCTCTCACGCTCCACCCGCTGCTGAACCTCCGACCTCTTACGCTCCAAACGCTGCTGCTCCTCATGCTTTAGACGAAGAAGGGCCTGGTAACGAGTCGGGTAGGGGTGGGGAGGAGGAGTGGTGTCAGGAGACGCAGCAGAAGAACCGGCTCCGTCCTCGACAGTACCCGGCTGAGCACCCCCAGAGCGAGTACCTCCCGCGGCAGCACGACTAGCACTTGTAGGAGGTGTACACGCACCCCCAGTCGTGGTGCCTCCAGTGGCACCATCACCAGCCCCAGACTCTCCAACTCCAGAAACACCACCAGCTCCAGCACCACCAACAGCTCCAGTACCCTCGGAACGGGCAGTTGTGGCAGGTGCACGCTCAGCGCCAACGCCAACACCCCCAGAACTGGCTGCTCATGTAGGTGCACGAACAGCTCTAACGCCAGCACCCCCAGAGGGAGCACCGCCAGAGCCCTCACCTTGAGCACCAACACCCTCAGAGGCCGCAGTGGCCGGTAAAGGAAGCGCTGACGGCTGCTGCGGAGGCGGTGAGGACAACTGTGGGGAATGAGGAGAGACCTGGGGGGGTACCGAGGGGGGGGGAGTAGCGTGGGACACACCAGACGGAGCGGGAACAGGGGGGGGTACCGGAGGAGTAGGGGCGGGAGGAGGAGGGGCGGGAGGAGGAGGGGCTGGAGCCAGGAAGAGGGGAGGGGGGGGAACCGGGAGACCTCGACAGGGGTACCGGACGTAGTAGGGGACGGACTCGTTGAAGCGGACGTCACGAGAGTCAAAGAACCGGTGGGAGGGAGGGTGGTAAAAGGTGAAGTCAGGGGAGCCCTCTGGGAAACCAAGGAAGACACAGGGGACAAAGCGAGGCGAGATCTTGTCCGCAGAGGTGTCACGGAAAAGAGCCAAGCAGCCCCAGACACTAAACCTTG